TTTATCCCGGCAACGATTTACACAATCTCATCATTTTGGGGGCCAAACAATTTCCTTTTTCAAAAGATACTGCGGGGACACTTTTAATGCCAATGAGCTGGCCAGAAATTCTCACTTGAATTAGTGGTCTGCACCTTGCAGCTGGTTGCGTCCATCACTCGTTCCGTGACCCTTGAACTCTCGCAAGTCCAGACACAGACAAAGAGAATGATGCAGGAAAGGTACGGTTTTATCCCCTTGCAGTGGAATAGCCTATGATTCGATCACAGACTGGATGACTTATGGAGGGCTTGTGACTGACTTACAGGCACTTCCGCGTCTTGTGAAGGATTGTTTCTCCTCTAAAACGATCCCATAGGTCCACTTTTCATAATTAGTGTTAACGATAGAACTCTTTAGACGTAACAGCAAAAAGAAGAAAGTCGCCTTTCCCAAGTGATTGAGTTTAATTAGAGTAACCACGAAGACTGAAACACGTCAGTTTAATTATTTGAAGCTTGAAAGGCGGGTCATACCTGAGGAGGTCACTATGGAAAAGTTAAACTTATTTAATGCTGAAAAGAAAGCCTCTCGATCGAATGAGCATCCAGTGGAGACTGTCAAACGCAATACGGAACAAGATAGAATCGAGCTGTTTTACCACTATTTGTAGCTACATCCCAAGGTCATTGGCAACAGTCTCCCTCCCCATTCCTGGTGAATTATTCAAGACAATTACCCTCGGCTGTGCCGGACACTCCTCGTCCACCCGGTAAACAGAATATAATGCGTTGCCATGGCAACATATCAGGGGCATCCGAAACGGTCAGTTCTTCGCGTCACATCTGGGTTCGGCTTTAATTTGTGATCGCCGCGAAAAGGCGCCCAAAGTGATCGTGCAGAATTAGTTTCCAGCCGGAATAAATTCGCCTGCTCGTAGGAAATCCCTCTTTTCGAATTAAAGTCAAAGATGTGGGTTGAACGCCAGCGGTCGTGGTCACAGTTGTCAGGTTCCCTGAACCCCCGTATATGGCGTGAAGCTTGTGTGGAGAAAGTGATACCAGTCTCCATTGTTTTATCGTGGAGGATTTGTTGTGGAGAGTATGTTGGCTCCAGACTAGTAGATAAACTGCCATAAACGAATATGATAAAGTACCAGCACTTCAAATATAACTAGGAATATAACTACGCTGTCTAACGTCTTTGACATAAAATTTACGATCTTTAACTTTTCCCTCTCTTTTTTGTTTTTGAGGGAGTTGGGGAGGTGGGTTTGAGGAATGACAGAATCCGACAACTTAAGGGTGAAATTGCTCTGTGAAGATAACCATGCCCATAAAGCAACGCAGACGTTAGCCGCCATTTTTGGGCAAAGAGGATCCCATCACGTTATTGCAAAATGGAGCAACACTCGTGGGCTCGTCTTCAACCAGATATCACCGATCTCCCAAGTTCACAATCGAGCTCAGAGCTGAGGGTTTAAGCCCTCCAAGGGCTCGGGCAGCAAAATCCTCTGACAAGTGAGAAATTTGGGGTTCAAATGAAAGTTGCAATCAAACCCACGGGCCGTCTTTGCCCACACAGGAACACACGGATGCTCGTCGTGGGTGGAGAGAAGCAGCATGACAAAAGGATCTGCCGAGGTCACACTGCCCATTAAACCATTACAAGCCGTGTCTATTACCATGTTTTTTGCCAAAATGTCAGTAGCCAATTAACGAAAACCGTTCGTTTACCATTAGATTCCTTTCTCGTGCAAAGCTACCGATTGAAGACGATATGACTGACGAGCATGAAGGAAATATCGGCAGAGATCGACACACTTGAATAGGTCTCACGACACACGAGAAGCGGTGTCAATTCAGACGAGGTAAAGGGGAAAGAAAAGTTGACGGCGGACCGGCGCGTGCCCGGGAAATGGTGAGTTGGTCGTGGATCGCGGCGGCGTTTACGATCGGATTTCATTATAAAAACTGTTTTCTCCCTCGACCCGAGCGATCGTTGACGGACGAGGGTGGAATTTTCTTTGGGTCGATGGGTAAACAGAGGCTACGTTTACCCGTTAATCCACTAGGTTTCCTGGACGTGATGGAGTAGACGGCTGATGAAGGTATGTAGTGGCCACATCGGAATTCAAGAACGCTGCGAAACATACGAGAAATGGCCGTTTTAGGAGGCTGCTCTCTGGAACCAAAAAATGTAAACAAACAAATAAATATACAAACACAAAACAATCTGAAACAAAAACACACGTGTTGTTTATTTTTTAATTTTTGACAAAGTGCTGGAACGAAATATTTGGCCCAAGGATGTTAACTCATTAAAGGTGCTCTTGATCAAGATACCACATTAAGCGTTCATAAAACAGCCGTTGAAAAGGACGGAAGTGATGATAAAAATGCAGTCAGCTTGTCTTCCAAATGATAAAGTACATGTACACGTTTTGGATGCTATCATATGACCCAGCGGATAATGTCCTATCGAGCCAGCTTTCATGCATGTCATATTTTAAAACATAAGACCAGCAAAATTCACTGCGTCTTGTCAAACACACAATGTGGCAGCCTGGAACGTAAATACCATTGCGTCGAGCACCGTTTCATGCCATCAAGACTGGAACTGTTCGATAATGCGCATCACTT